GAATAGATGCTGAGGCCCCTTAAACACTGAGAGCTATAAAAGGGCTCCCCCTGGGAGGAGGTGACCTCAAGATGATTTTAGATGTGGCGTCCTTCTTTGGTCTCCAGAAATAGGACACCAGCGGAGTCCGTGGTGCGGAGGGACAGAGGCCACATTTACCCATGTTGGTGTCGCTCCCCTATCTCGGTGGTTTCTCTCTCTCCAGGGTTTGTGCCAATGCCCAAATAAATCTCCAGGGAACCAAGAGTAGAAAGAGCTTTTTAATATATGAGGTCAATGCCATAGGTGTACTATATACCCCTGTCACTCTCACCCCCATTTTAAAGATGAGAAATGTTGAGACCTAGATAACTAAGTGATTGATTGAAGATCACACAGCTAGTAAATGCAGAGGTAGGATGTAAACTCAGGTCTGTCTAACGCCATAGTCCACACCCTTGACAAGAAGTTCTCAAAGACGCCCTGTGTATCAGAATCACCTGGCAACTACTACATCGAAATCGCTAGAGCTGGACCTCCATATCACTGACGCTCTCCAGTAGATTTTTATGCAACTAGACCAAAGTTTTGGGACGCTCTACTCTAAAACATTGCATTATACTTCCTCCTCAATAAATGTCTGTTAAATGAATGAATGTGGGCTGTAATTCTTCCACTAATAATCTATTCCTGCATTAAGGATTGCTCTCATTTTAAAAGGCATGTATTCCTGAGAGCTTGTCTCTAAATTCTCACATTAGTATCTTTATCAGAGACAGAGTCGTGGTTACAGAGAAACTAGCCTCAGTGGCTATGGGACGTTCATGATTAAGGATGGGAAAAGCCAGAGGGTAGGCTAAAATTCACATTTTGGTTCCTCACAATGTTACAGGGGCGTACTGCCACCTGACCATGTAGCTAAGAGCTGGAAACCTAGGGCTCACTTAAAGTTCCTTCAAGGTTCTTTTATGTTATAAAGTTCCCACCATGATTGGCCCTTAGTTGAACAAGGCTCCTATCCTTCCTCCAGATAATCTGCTATGTCAGACACCATCAGTGACAAGAGCTCCTTGGGTGGTCCAGAAATTTCGCTCTGTGTGCAGTGCTGCCTCCAGTCACTCTCCTTTGTGCTCCCCAGCCCACTCCTTAGGGGGCAATGTCCCTCTTCGTGGCCGGCAGCTTCTCTAGAAGCCCGACCTTGCGCCACTTATGCAGAGGCAGCACAAGTGTCCATCGGGCAACGACTGGATAAACAAAATGTAATTTATCCACATAACGGGATATTATTCAGCAATAAAAAGAAATGAAGTATCAACAGCATGGATGAACCTTGGCATAATGAAAACATCATGCTAAAGTGGAAGAAGCCAGTCTCACACACACACACACACACACACACACACACACACAAATACATGTGGTATGATTCCATTTGTACAAACTGTTCAGAATAGGCAAATCCATGGAGACAAAAAGTAGACTAGTGGTTTCCTTGGGCTAGAAGAGTTTGGTGGAGAATAATAGTGAATGACCCCTAATAGGTATAGCGTTTCTTTTTGGGGTGATAAAAATGTCTATTAATAAAATTGATTGTGATGATGTTTGTGTAACATTGTGAATACACAAAAAACTACAGAATTGTACATTTTAAATGTGTGAATTTTATAGTATGTGACTTATATCTCAAGAAGCTACTAGAAAAAGAGGAAGCACAGGGAAACAGAAGAGTTGTAGTGAAATTAGAGTCTGAGAATCATGAGATTGCCAGGCACCATCACAACTGGAAAAGTCTTTGGAAAGTTCTTCTCCACCAGAGGGGTGTATAGGATCATAATTATAAAGTTGCTTACCTTAAGGTGTCCTTAAATTGATTCTATCAGTCACTTCCTATGATGCCTTTTTCTCTTCTGAACATGCATGTAATTTTTCCACCCTTTCCTTTTCTTTCATGGGACTAAGTTCACAGTACTTCCCAGATTAATAATATATGAAGTCAGGCACACAATATTATATTTTTAAGGAAGAATTATAATTTAAAATATACAATGTTTCTATTGTATCTGTTGCTTTGCACATTTTTGCTGCCAGAAATTTCAAAGAGCCAGTGCCCATTATTTATAATGGGAGAGAAGAATGTTCAAACCAGTAATAATGTTTAAAAATAGGGCATGATTCCATCCATGTCTCCATTGTGTCAAAGTTGCCACCTCCTTTTTGTCTGTTCAGGGCTGTATTATCTCTCACATGGACCTTTAGAGCAGCCTGATTCCTTCCACAGTCCCATCTTCCACGATACTGACAGCTACCTCCCTAAAATGCAAACATGAGGCAGCACAGCCGGGAGGATAAGAACTTGGGTGTCAGCCTCAAACTGCCTGAATCTGAATATCAGCTTTACCACCTATCAGTTTGGTCAATTTAGGCAAGTTGCTTAATCTTTCCGGGAATGATTCTTTTCCCTAAATTTTTGCAAAGATTAAATGAGAGCAGTATGTTACGTGCTTAGTCTAATGACGGGTACATAGTAAGCAGTTAGTCACTATCAGCTTATTATTATTATTGTATAGATTCAGGTGCTGCCGTGCTTCCTTGTTTCTGCATAATCAAGTCCAAACTTTGAAATCTGACCCCAGTCTTTCTTCTCCCAGGTCCCAACCTTCACTAAACACATCAGGCAAACTTGTGGCTCCGGGTATTTGCTCAAGCACTTTCCTCTGCCATTCCCTATCTTCAATTAGAAAAGCCCCTTCTTCATTCAAGAAGACTATGTACAACTATGAAGGGACTATGAAGCTTTTCCAAAGCTCCTTTTTCCTCTGTGTTCCAACAGCATTTTAGGGATTTGAGAGCAGTTGGCCAAAAAAAGTCATATTTTGTAGATAAAGTAAACAGAACTTCCTGGTGAACTGGATAAGACAAACAAGAAGTAGAAGAAAGGATGACTTCTAAGCTTGTATCTGGAGCAACTGAGCATGTGGTGGTGCCATTTAATGGTACAGGAAAACGTGGGGAAATTAAGGTTTCGGGGACTAGTAATAAAGATATCTGCACTAGCTATGTTAGGTTTGAGATGCCGTCAGATATTCAAGTGGATTTCCTACATAAGCAGTTGAATGTACATAAAAGTCTGAGGCTTGGAGAGCAGTCAGGGCTATGGATCTAAAACTGAGAGTTATAATTATATAGGTGAGGCCAGTGGAGGTCCCTGGAGAAGCCAAGGGAACAGCAACATTCAGAGGTCAACTAGAGGAAGAGAAAACTGTTCCACACCTATATGTGAATTTACTAGCCCAGTGCCTACTTGAGGTTAAGTACTGTCTTATTTACCTTTATGTCTAGAAGTGTTGGTCACACAAATGTTCAATAAATGCTTGCTGAATTCACTTCAGTACTAAAAGCAAAGAAAAGTGTCCTCTCAGAGTTCTCCCAGCCCTGCAATTTAATGATTTGGCAAGTTTGCAAAGAAGCGCAAGGGACAACTTCAGCACCTAGCACAGGAAGGGATGTAGTGGATGGTAGAAAGGCTCGCCCTCTCTATCCCCCAACTTCTCCCTATCTCCATGCCCTCAGGGACACTCCAAAGAGTATAGTCCCAGTGCTCATGAGGGGATGGCACAAAGCCCAGGATCCCAGCATGGTCCTCGAAGCTAAAGGGTCTTAAGAGAGCAGCAGCTGCTGGAACATATGGGTGACCGGCAGGAGTTCCCCTTAGCCCTGGCCTGAAACTCCTCAGTGTACACAATACCCGGTTTTCTGAAAGGCTGCGTGGGAAACTTTCTCTCGGATCTTGTCATGTTTTTTCTGTGGACTTCAATGGTTTAATACTCATATTTTTCTGACCTCTTTGTTCTTATGAAGGAGTCAGGGATTTGTAAATCAAAACACATGTGCCCGCCCCTTCTCTCCTCTTGCCACTGTTCTGATTAGGCTTTTATCATCCTTTGTCCGGACAAATTCTGTAGCTTCCTATCTGGTCTCCCTGCCTTCATTCTCCCCTCAACTCGGCCACCAGAATAACCATGCCAAAGCACTGCTCTGATAGGGCACCCACCTGCCAAGAACTTCAACAGCTTCACCAAAATTCTAAGTTTGGAATTCTAGGTGTCCCACCATCTATCCTTTCCAGGAAACTTTTCCAGCATGATTAGTTTCCTTCAACCATATCCAGGGTTGTAATTAATCAGGCCCCATTTTTCCACACAAAATAGTCACTGTGATTTCTCTCTGTTGTGTCTCAGCACCTGCCATTTTCCTCATCCAAGACGCTTCACCTGTTTCTCCATCTGTTATAACCTCACCCACTCCTCAAGTTCCAGGCCAACGGCATCTTCTTCACGAAGTCTTCCTATTGACCTGAGGCAGCAGGAGAGGTCCTTGCCTATACCTCTGAAACATTAGCGTGTTTTTTTAAAAAAACTCTTATCAGACAGATGATGGGTGATGATGTTGATTAATAGATAAACAGATAGATTTTTTTTTGCTTTGAAACTCTGACTTATTTTTTAATTCAACATACTGTACCTAGCACGGCACATGGAAGGAACTCTAACAATACTGACTAAATGAATGAATTTGTGAGTGATTCAATTAATCCAGTAATCCATTAATAATAGTTAATCCCCACTTCTCACAGTTCAGCCATTGCATAATCCTCTGTCTTCATATATTGAGTTTTCTTAAAGTTGAGACCTTCTGCTTTATTAGGTCACCACGTAGGGGACTTCCTTTAACAGCTGTGCTCCTTATGTCCAGAGCATCAATGAGTGACATAGAGGAGAGAAAGACAGAAGAGTGGGAGGGTTCAGGCATATGTGAAAGATGGATACTTATAGGGAAGGACGTTAAGCAGGACACTGACATGATCAGACTAACCTTTGAGAAAGATCACTCAAATTTATCTGCAGAACGGACAGGACACACTGCAATACAGGAGAGGCTCAGGAGGAGGCTGAGAGTGGACTGACTGACGCTTAGCCCAGGTCCTTGTCAAAACAATAACTGCTGCCTCTTTCTCTTCTCAGGGCTTCCAGGGCAGTGGCTGAGGAGACCTTACCAAGGAGCACCACGCAGTAGATGCGGAGACATCGCCCTCCAGGATAAGAAACAGTAACATGGCAGCACCCGTCTGAAAGGAATTAAAAACCAACAGACTCCATTTAGAAAGGAACAATGTCCAAGAAAGGGCGAAATAAGGGCGAGAAGCCCGAGGCACTCATTGTCGCCCTTCAAGCTGCCAATGAAGACCTCAGGACCAAGCTCACAGACATTCAGATAGAGCTGCACCAAGAGAAGTCCAAGGTGAGCGAGGGCTACCTGAGGCCGGGCCCTGAGAGCAGCCCTGGCTGTGTCCACATGCAGTGAGCGCTGCTCTGCCTGCTGGCCCACCCCAGGGGACTCCTGCCCTTTGCCAGAGAGGGCACCACCCGCAGGCACAAGGAGATTCTCTTGCATGTGGCAGGTGGGAACTGAGCACAGGATACACAGGAGTGAGACTAGCATGCTCACTAGACACACCCTGCCTCCTCAGGAAGCCTGGTTCAAGAAGCCAGATATAAAAATTGAGAAAATCCACCCCTCCCCACTGTCTCCCAACACTTAGTAGTTGTGTGACCTGGGACAAGTTTCACCCTTGCCCTCTATAGCTTATTCCTCGTAGAGCATTCAAAGCCATCCTTCTAAAATGTATCACATCATGTCACTCCACTGCGCAGTACCCTCCAATGGCTTCCTACCTCTGTCGAAGTCAAAGAACTTTCCCTAGCACTACAAGGTATTACTTGCAGCCCCTCTTTGACTCATCTCTTACTTCTCTCTCTCTCTCTCTGCCTGCTCCAGCCCCTTTGCTGGATCAAGAGAGATGCTGATCACACTTAGGGCCTCTGCCCTTATTTTCCCGCCGGTTACCTACGTGATCCTCCCCTCTCCTCCTCTAGGTGTCTGCTCAGGTACCACTCATCTGACCAGTCTCTGAAACAAAACACTTCCCCATGCCCAGTTACTCCCCATGGCCTGTTCTTGACTTATTTCATAGCAATTTGTATATTTATGCATTTACCTGTTTAGCCCTACTTCTCCCCAATCGAATGTAATTTCTATGATAGCAGGTACTTAGCTTACTTCGTATCTCTAGAGCCTAAATAACACCCAGAACTTAAAATCTCAACATGTATTTGTTGAATGAATAGAGGAATCATTGAAAGAAGGTTCATTCCTTCTACCTTCGTTTCTTCATCAGTAAAATATCACTGCTACCTCACAGGGCTGTGATGAAGTGTAAATTAGACAAGTACGTAAAGTACTTATGAGGATTAAATGAGAAAATTTATGTCAAGTGCTCAGAGAGCTGCCTGGCACATAGTAAATTTTCAAAAAGTTATTCGTATTAGTACTTTTTCTAATAGTCTCTGGATCTGAGTCAGTTGCTAATGGACTTAGAAAAGGCTCTTTACGTCTCTAAATCTCAGTAGGTCACAAACCAACAAATATCCCAATTCCATTTTATCTATCTCTTCTCCCTTAACATCACTATTACATTTTAATTTGTTATTTCTCCCAAAATCTATTTTTCCTAGTTTCAACAATAATAATAAATAAGCTTTAGATCTGCCAAAGCCTGTGGCCGCCTGCCTTAGGTAAGCCTTCATCTTACATAAAAAGATGGCAATGTAAAGTTTGCAAAGGAAATTATTTAGTTTCCGTGAAACCAAAGGAAACACGATGTCATTTTTTTAAAAAAAAATTGAAAGTCAGAAGACTTGGGCATTATTTGTCTTTATCTCTCCTTGGAGACAAAGGTAAGTGTCTCAATTTCTCTATCTGTAATTCAGATGACTGAATGTCTTTCTCCGTATCTGTGTCTTTCATGCATCACTGCAAAATAATAACCTGGGGGAACTTATTAAAAATTGAGATTTCTGAGCCCGAGGATTCTGATAGAACAGGCAGGTGAGGTCCAGGACTTGTAATTCTAAAGCAGTCCAGGCGCATCAGACGCAGGTGGTGCTCACTCCGCCTTTGTGTCGACAAACACTCCACTGTGAGATTTCTTCCAGGTCAGACCATCTAGTAACATAGCATTGGTTTTCACTTTCCTTGGAGCAATGTACCGTTTCAAGGGAAGCAGAGCTCCTTTAATTGTCGTAAGGACAGGATGACAAACTACATTCATAGGAAGCGGCTTGTCAGTCTAGAGAGTGGGGACCATAAATTGCCGCTGCTTTACAGAAAACAAACTCACGAGATTCCAAAGAAGCAGAGGCCCTGGGGACTTCACCGCTGCCAATTTTTCCCACATTCAGACCTTTTTAAAATGGATGACTCTCGAGCTGGAACGAGGCTGCCTGTTTCTCCAGGGTCTGGCACGGGCGTCTCAGCCGGCAAGCCAAGCATCGTCTCCCCTCCCCCTGACGAGAGCCAGGCGGCAGCCTCTTGAACCAGAGCACACGGCCGTCCCCTCCCCTGTGCCGGCTGCCCCTGCCCGGCTCGCTCGCTTTGGCAGTTAATTACAGTCCCAGCACAGGAGCTGAAGCAGAGTCCCCCTGCCTGCCAGCAGCCTTCCCTAAAGAGCAAAGGGAATTTGGAGGGCAAACAAGTCATAAAGCAGTTTTATTATAAATAAATATGATTGTGTTTTCAAAGGGCCAGGCTTTAAAAGAGAGCATAAGAGCAATGCCAAGATGTGAATTTACACTCCAGGTTTGGCTCCGAGGCTCTGATGACAAAAATGACAATTCAGCTACAGGGGAATGGACGAATTAAAGAGTGGAAACCTTCAGGGTGATGGAGCATTACTCATTTTTCCAGCAAGACAGATAATCCCATTGACATTTACAGAACATCCATTGTGTATAGAGCAGAGTCCTAAGTGCTTTGGGGGGACAATATAAATAGCTAGAACGCATTGAATGTTTACTCTCGGTCACACTCTGTAATACGCGCATTGCCTCCTGCCAGAATCCCAGCTCTTCACGTAGCAGCTGAGTGACCCTGAGCAGGTTACAGAATCCCTCTGTGATTTTCTTTCCTCATCTGTCAAATGGGACGATCGTGGCATCGACCTCACAAGGCTGTATTGTGTGTCTGTTCGTTTTTGAGCAGTTATTTGTGTCAGGTGTGGAAAGCCATTATCTCATTTCACCCTCATCACCTGCCTCGAAGGTGGGCGTGGCTGTTATCCCCGTTTTCCAGATGAGGAAACTGCCTGGCATGTGGGAGGTCTCAGAAGTACCTGTGGAATTAATTTACATGATTCATTTATAAGCTTTCCCAAAACCCTGTGGCATAAGTATTGTTATAGCCCGTATATAGATGGGAAACCCCAGGCTTGGGTGGAGAAAGCATTTCTACGCAGGTCTGTCTTTTCCTTGGACCAGCACTCTGGGCCGTTAAACAGTGATGTTTGCCTCTGTTTGTCTCTTCTGTGGACACCCTGAGGTCATGATCTGATGCTTAGTGATCTGATGCTAGAAATAACCCTATTACAGGCATTTTTAAGTATAATCAAAAATCCTCAGAAGTTTAAAGCAACTTTCTTAGAGATAGCAGATGTTAAGATAGAAATGCAAACTCAGAATTTCTTACCCTTTATCCATTTTAACTACAGTTTTTCATTGTTCTAAGAAGAACTGCTAAACTTTCCATTAGTAACTTGTTACCTGGCAGCTCTTGCAGTCACGAGACTGTTCCAAATGCCTAATGTAAATGCATCTTGCTGAAAATGAAAATGACTAAGTTCCTAACAGTTGAGCTAAAGTAACTTTCCCAAGGTCTTATATGGAAGATAAATCATCAGAGTTTCTAAATCAATGAAAAATAAGGCCCTTCCTCTCAAAAAATGCATGATCTAGAACAGGAATCAGCAAACATTTTCTATGAAAAGCAAAAGAGTAAATATGTTAGGCTTTGTTAGCCAGAAACTCTTTATGAAAGTACTGAACTCCATTGTAGCATGAAGCCACCTTAAGCAATATGTAAATGAATGGGCATGGCTGTGTTCCAATAAAACTTTATTCACAAAAACAGGAGCGGGATGGATTTGGCCCATGGGCTGTAGTTTGCCCACCCCTGGTCTAGAAGATAGTCACTTCCATTCACTTTAGGAAAATGGATAGTAAGATCTAGATTATCCTTACTGAAGCACTAAGAAATATCAACCAGAGAAGTGGACATTCTTATATGTTGGGGTTTTTTTGGTTTTGTTATAGGGGCTCCTCTGGTAACCCTACAAGCCTGTGTTCTCTAACTTGTAATATTATATTATATTATATTATTATTCTTGCCTCTCATTAGGGGGCTAGCCAGGGAAATTCCACACATGCCTTCTGCCTTCTTATTCTGTGTTGTCCTGGGAGCCACTGGATATACAGAGATGAGGAAGGTTTGTTGGCTGCCTTCTAGGAGTTTCCAGTCTGGGCTAGGGATGGAAGAGGAGGTGGTTAGGACAGATAAGTGTACAAAAAAAGTATCATAAAGAAAAATGTGAAAAGGACCAGCAAGGAGGTGTTGCCAGAGTGCACTGAGAAGACAACAGCAGGAGAAATGAGCTTTGTCCTGGGCAAGTAGGGTGGCATGACAGGAGAGGATGACATCTAGCTGGGCCCTGAGGAATTTGAGGATCCCAAAAGGAGCAGAGGGAAGGGCAGGTCAGGAAGAGGAAACAGTTGGTAAATAGGTACAGAGACGCAGGCCCTGTGCAGAAAACAGCATCATCCCCTGTGCCTGGAAAGGGGACAGGTGAGGAGTGGGAGAGGGGGAAATGGGAGCTGGAAGTCCAGCCAGACCTTTGTGAGAGCCTGAAAGGCAAAGCTGAGTGTTGGGATTTTATTCCACAGCATAAAGGAGCCTGGGTAGTCTTTGAGTAGGCACAAAAGAAAGATCAGAACTGGGCTTTACTGAGAGAATATCCTCAGCAGTGTGGGGAAAACTAGGTTCACCAAATGAACCTCTGAGAACTCCTGAGCAACACTGTTCAAGAGAAATACAATAGGAGTCACAAATGCAAGCCATGTATGCAACTTTAAAATGTCTTGTTAGCTCCAATTTTAAAAAGTAAAAAGAAACAGAATTAGTTTTAATAATATAATTTATCCAAAATATAATAGTTC